TTCCGCTTCATTGGGGCTTCAGTTAATTTTTCGGTTCTGGCACAAACAATGGCTCGAATGTACCGTTATTGGAACAACTATCCGATCTCGATGATCATGTTCTGCGTTTAAGCGGAAACACCATTGTGTGTCAAAATCCTCACGTTTGGTTTCTTTCCTTCAAACAAAGATTTTCGGCTTTTTCTAAAAATTAAGTTTTATACGTCGTTTTATTTTTCAGCGGAATCCTTCACGAAGAACCGCCCAAAAAGCACTGGCAACAGAACTTACCCTTCTTGTACATGGAGGTAAACAAGACCTCTTGCAGCAAATCTTTCTACCTGATGAGCCTCCTTTTTGCAATAACCTGCAGCCATCGAATGGGCACGGATGTAATTTTGACTTTTATAGCCTCGGACCACTCGCCCATGTTAATTTAAGTAGTTATCCTCTTTCATGGCAAAAAGGACTATATCTGGAAGACCTTAACTTTTCTCGTTTAGTCGAAATTAAATCAGAATATAAGAAGAGGGACAGAATTACATGAGCGCCGTACTAGCATTCCGATGGTTGTTGGTAGTATATGGGACCTCCATACATTTTCTGCTCATTTGTTTGCCAGGTCAGTTCGTTTTGTCAGCGAATCTTTTACACACTAAGGACTCATTTTAAATAGGTAGGTATACTGGACGTTACGGCATGGACTATCAGCCCGATCTGGGGAAATATTGATTGTAAAGATCAACAGCGACTGATGACCCTTATAAAGTGCATTTCGGCCGCGTTATCCATACCGTCTAGCTGCATTCACTTCACGAAAGTTTCCATCAGTATTAAAGTACTTTGTTGGAACAGTCGACAATCTGGAGGGCGGTTAAGTGCATATCGGCGTGCCTTCATGCGATCTTTCATCCGATCATTTGCCATCTTTTGAGCTCGCCCCCACTGGTAATGCTTGCAACTGTCGTTTTCCGAAAGTTGCAAACGTGATTTATTTACTTTCATACGCTTCATCGACCCCAGGTTCACTACTGCAATTCTTCTGATTCGTAACAGAGACGTTTTTATCAACTCATCAGTTAAGAGGAAGGACGTCTGTCTCTTTTTTTTTATAGCTGGAGCCCTGCAGGCCATTGAACTTTCTTCTCGAATATTCTTCCCCTCGAGTTCTGTACACACGACCGACAAAAAGTCGACGTGCACCCTTGCTGACAACCTATCTCCGTCCGAACGTAATTTCCTAATGGCCGCCGTCTGCCACCCAACAGCTCCCACCACGAGTCCTCTCCCCGTCATTAATGACGGTGGTGCCTCTCAAGACCCATTGTCGCGTCTTCAAGAGGTCTTATCGAAAGCACTAGCCAGTCAGCAAGATCGGGGCCACGCCCTATCATTGTCTGGCGGAATCACTCTAAATGGCATTCAGCTGACCCAGCCCTCCCCGGATGCAACGTCAACCAGCCAGTTTTCATGGCCTCAGAGTCTTGTTACCAAAGCTTGGAATGCCTGTGATCCGTCTACTGGAATTAGTGTTCTCCGGATTGGTGAGGATTTTTAGTGTTTACAGTGGCCCTTTTTTAATATGGCGGCCCCATTTTTAATTATCGTAAAAATCTGGTTTTCTTGTCTTGCGTTTCGTGGAATAGTCACAGATGCTTTGTGCGACCCCAGGATCTAAGTTCGCTAAAAGCATTCCTTAACTGTAGGGAGTCCTTATTTAGTTGGCATTTTTAACTACTCCCCATTGAGTCGGGTGTGCTTATGTAGCCCCACTTGAAGTAAACAAACCCCAGTGACCTCTAATACGGGACCGGTGGTAATAGGGGGTTTTTACAGGTGGGACCGGGGAACGCACAGGCGACAAGATCAAGTAGTTGTATGCAAAAAAGCTATTGGGAGTGCGTGGTTGTACTTTGGGTGGTTTAGAAATAGTTGCGCTAACCCTTAACCCTGACCCCCAATCCTAACCCCTACCCCTAACCGCAACCCCAACAGTATTGTGTCCATCAGGTGGGGCTACCAAACCACATCTTATTCCCCACTGTACCATGTGTAAAATTCGTAATCGGTAGCTTCCAAGATGTCGCGAGATATACCGTTTTGAGCCGTCGTGAGATTTCTTAATTTTGCCATATCCCTAAATAATGGAGGTCGGCAACATCCGTTTTTTACCTTTTCTGACGATCTTACCAATTATGCTAAAAATAATAAAAGTCCTTCACGGATTTCTTGCATCGAAATTTCCCTCTGTTCCTCTGTTGACTCAACTTCCGCAATGGTGGGATGCCACTGGTGTTCTGTTCCAAACCCAAAAGAAGGGTAAGCAATAATTTATCTAGAAGAAGGCCCATAAATGTAACACCTCGTTTTTCTGGGAAGCGCGTGTCCGTTGTGGCGCATCACGTCCTACGCCGCGAGAGGGGTGTCCCGAGTGACACTGGGGAATGCATCACAGGGCCTTGAGCGAGAGCACGCTTGAGTCGGCCTTGAAGATGGTTGGCCAGTTTGGGCAGACGCGATTGACCGAAAACCAGATTGCCACTGGTGCGCACGTGCAAGCACTCGCGAAAGGCGCAGCGTTGTGGCAGGCGCCCGGAGTAGGGCCACCACAAGTCATCGCTTGCACGTCACCCCATAATTTGAACTATCTTTAACAATTATGATAGCCGTATCCTCTCTAGGTAGCATTTAATGATGAAGGTGGAGGAAGATGTGGTGCAATAGTTTAGCCGGCGGTTGTCCTCCGCAGGTTTTTGTAAATACGCATGTGGCTTAATAGGCCCATGCGGTGGGTGAATGTGTGGGTGCGGTGAGGGCAGTTGAGGCGGATGCGTTCAATTGCCATCTCCCTCGCGACTGGGAAGTGTGCGTCTCGGCTCCGTCTCCATGCTACTTCTTTGCTGCATGTGTGATTCGAGTCTGAGCCTATCACGGCGCGTCAAGCACCGTAGCCTAGAAGGCTGCCGACTAACGCCCCAACTCAGTCCACGCAGTCTGCCCAGTTGCGTGTGTTTGTATGGAGTGGCAGACTGGTGGCCTAAGAGCCAGGCTGTGATGGCTCCCTAATTTTGTGGCATTTATGGCACTCCCACTGCGTGGGATCCGAGGCGGGTGTGGCGGCATGTCTAGGTGCGGCTCCCGCCGTGCAAGCCACCATTCTTTGTTGTTGGTCAAAAACCTTGATATTTGCTGTGGACCAAGGGTTGTGGGGTGGAGCGCCAAGGTGTGGACTCGACCGCGCCATCTATCTGCGCCTTTCCCTGTCCCGAGCTTCTTGATTCTGTCTTGACACCGGGTCCAGGTGGGGGAGGAGAAGAAAGTGCGGTAAATGATGCGCAAGTCTGCATTCACTGTAAATTAAATCACTCGGAAGTCACTGTCTTTGCTCTCACCTTGTAGTGGATATCGTCGTCAACGACGGTCGACTGCATATATCTAGCTAAATTTCGACACATACCCGTGAATCCAACTGTTTTATTTTTAAGACATTAATTGTTTTTTTTTATCAAATCTACTTTATTTTACATGACTTGTGAAACTTATGTCCTATAATACCACAGAGAACTTATACAGCTGTATGCTTTGTTTCTCATGATTTTTCTTCGTCTGCTTAATGGGCACAACCTACTGTCTTCCATTTATCCTTCTCTTTTGCCGTACCAACC